CCTTTGCCTCATATTTCCCTTACAAAGGCTTTTTCCCTGATAGCTGCATAATGCCTGCAAGTCATTTAGTGGCTGAGGTCTGTACTTTGAGCCCGCACGTTTAATAGACTCATAACAATTCTGTGCATTAGTTATCTGAGGTACATAAAACAACTGAGTGAGATGGTTAACTGGTTTGTTGAAAATTATGATGACAATACAGCAAAAACAAATCAAAATTCATAATTTAAACAAGACACTTAAAACAGAGTAAACGCTAAAATAATGAAAAATGGCACAATTACGAATGTTTCAGTATACAGATAAGGGCAACACATTGATTTTGCAATGTCTCCTTAATTTGTGGAATAAGAATGAAGGGTTTAGTGAACCCTGCTTTTAATAGTCCATAGATGACGTGCTGTCAGGTTGAGTTCCATAAATTCTTAATTGTTAGTACACTGTTTATGGGTTTCATGAACTAGGTTGCTGCCTTTTTTTTAATCTGTTCTGTATATTTGTGGAATGCTCCTTTTTTTTTGCTTTAAAACTGTAATTTCTTCACTCATTTACTTTTGTGTGGTTATGACAATGGGAGGTGGGATTCAAAAGAGGTTCAGAAATGCAAAAGTTTCCTGGGATCTTAAAGCGACAATGCTATTTGGAATTGTAAACAAAATACAAGTTGGAGATTCATTGCCCCCTGCCTCCAGATGTTTGCCCATTTATGAAGGGAAGGGTATCTCAAATCAAGAACTGTGGTCTTGCAGTTATTTCCAAGAGTCTTAAAGACTTTTTTTTTTCCTCATCCAGTGTGAGCACATGATGGGTTGAGATAAATTTGAATACATGAATAAATTATATTTAAAGCAATTGGGATTTCTCAAATTCTCTTTTGTTTAAAAAAATCATAGTGGGTAATTCTGATTCTTGGATTATGTACAGCAAGTCTTGGTTGCCCAGGTTTCACATCTTTTGTTTACATGAGCTCACAATTCCAATAAGACTCAAATTTAAAATGCTTTGTGTATTCACCCCTTCCAATCTCTGTAACCTCCTCCAGCCCATAACGCTATTCCTTCCTGAACTCGCTCTTCCAATGTCATCCTCTGATTCATTCTCTTTCTCTTTGCCTGATCATAGGTGAATGTGCGTCATTGCCCAAACACATGCCCTTGAATACCCTCCTTAAACCTCTCCATCTCTTCCCGTCACTTACACTTTATATTTGCAGCATCCTTAAAAGCTAATTCTTCATCGAAGCATTTGATGGCATTTATGAGCATCTCCTTTGGCATTGTGCTCATTTTGTTTCCTCTTTCATCTCATGTAACACCTTTGGGATGATTGTCTAGATGCTAACTGACTTGAGTATTGGCCAAGTGTCCCAAGATGGAAGCAATCTTGTTTTTAAAAGTCATTAGATCTGAGCTGGCAAATTTTGCTTATGCATTATTAAACAGGGCACTTTGAGTATATAACAATGACCTTGCACTGTTTAGCATGCTGAGCATTGAGTTTCATTTTATTTTTGTTGCCTGTTTCTTTGTAAAGCCTAAAGTAATCTTAAAAATCACCAGAATCTTTTCTTCTGCTCATAACTCCTGTAGGTAAGTCATAACAAGCATTGATTAACCAGCCTCCATATTGAACTGATCATTCTCTGCCAATTATGCCAACACCAGCACAATGTACCATCAAGCACCCCTTCAACTCCCCTCCTCTTCCAGTCCATTCCAACAGGACTATTCCCTCCATGACACTTTTGCTACTTCTCTGTCACACACAATTCCCCTCCCCCTTCTCTTGACACTTTCCCAAGCAAATACAACAGATACCACACCTGCCCCTTCAATCATGTCCTTCCCTGCCCAATGTCCACGGCTTCGAACACTCCTCCTTACAGGTGAAACAGGATTTATTTCACTTTATATGGTAAACTTATGCTCAAGATGCAGTATCCTTTGTGTTGGGGAGAGTAAACTCTTAGTGAGGGATCTTGTTTAGCAGAACACCTCTGATAGGTCCGCGTGTATGACCCTATGCGTATAGTTGCCTACCCGTTAATTCTCTGTCACGTTCTCACTCCAATCTCTTAGCCCTCAGCCTCTTAGGGTGTTCTAACTGAGCTCACAACAGAATCTCAAACAACTACACTTCATTGTATATTTTATAATGCCGCTAAATTCAACACTGAATTCAAAACTTTCAGGTCGTACCGATGCTCCCGTTTTATTTGAACAATGGCTCCTAGTAATCACTTTGCTATTCCCTTTCACACATTCTCCCAGTGCTACCTTCTTTTCTCTTACTTCCCACATTGTCATTCGCCTTGTACCATTCTCCCCTTTTGCTACTTCATCTCTCCTGCCTCTAACCTGTTACAGACCTTCCCTCTTATTCATTCATCCCCTTTTCTGTCTCTGTATTTGCTTAAAACCATCACAGATTCAAATTCTTCCAGTTAGATTGAAAGGTCATCAACCTGAAACTTGTAAGCAAAGGTTACTTGGTCTGTTGAGTGCTTTTGACATTTTCTGATTCCCAACGTTTGTATTATTTTGCTTTTGAATAAACTATTATCTTTGTGTTGACTGTTTTAAGGGAAGTTTGCAGTTACCAGATATGACAAAATGTCCAACAAAACAGATACTGTTTGTCTGGTGTCATGCCAGATGTATATCTAATTAATCTTGTGTCAGACCTGAACTAGCTATCACCAGCCCATCATATGACAGGCCTTACAAAGAGCACACAATTTAAAAGTCCTGGATTACATAGAGAACTTGTAGAGCTGAAATAAATCATCATTTGGTAAATATGAAAGTCGTATTATTGATCTTGGTACTTCTGGTTCGTGTGTCAGGTGGATCTTCCAGGTGGTTGCACAGTTAAAGGCTAACTTTGAACAAAGTGCAAAGTGTCTTCAGTAAAATTGATCCAGGCCTTCCTGACTATTGAGAGTCTGTGCTCAAACTTTGCGTACATTAGAGTTGACGAGTCTTGTTTTTCTGTTGTCATTTCTAATGTCTAGGTTGATGCCAGATGCTCCATAATTCTCTTAAAACTTGATTGTAAGTGAATGAATTGTTTGGTCCAATGACATTGTTGTAGGTCTGGAATCACATGTAGGCTGAACCAGATAAGTACAGCAGCTTTTTTTCCCTATATGCCATTAGTGAACCAGATGGGGTTTTATGACTATCACATAAGCTATAGGGTCATCATTGGGCCCAACTTTTTTAGTTCCAGAATTTTTCCATTTGGAGCTAAATTCTGCCAATAGCTGTGGTAGGATTCAAACCAGGGTCCCCTGAACACCCAAGTGTCTCAATTGCTGACAATACCACTACACCATTGCTCCCCAAATATGGGGATAACATGGAAATATGGCATTGAAGCAGATGATCAGCCATGATATTGAATGGCTGCACATGCTTGAGGGATTGAATGACCTACTCATCTTTCAGAGTCGCCAATTTCATCAAGGTCTGCCTTAGCTCTCAGTGATAAATCTTGATGCTGGTTTATACTATTTCTTTGTTATCGTTGAAGCTATTTTTATTAGTTATTGTTTTCTTGTATTTAGTTTGGAGAAACAAGTGTTTGGTTTTAAAAAAAAAAGAGGACTTCAATTTTGTCAGAGTTACACTGATAGTTGTCACAAATTTCTTCTTATTCTCATTGTTCTCGTTCCTTCAGTTTTATTATACGGTAAAATTTATGTATTCCATTCACGTGCCCAGAGCTTGCGTACAAAACATAGATTTCACATTTAAAGTTACACATTTCATATTTAAAAGTCCAGTCGTAGGAGCTGGTGGAATTTAAGTGCAATTGATAAAAAGAATTTGGCATTTAAAGTGAGTCATAGTAATCCTATCAATAATTTATTGTTAAGATCCCTTTGGGATCACTAATGCTCTTTAGGAAGATAAAGCTACCATCCTTGCCCCTCGTTGCTATATGTGGGACCTTGCTGTTTGCAAATTGCAGTTGTATGCAAATTGGTTACCACATTGTCCATAATTGCAGGAGCACAGTATTAGGGTAAACTCTCAACTGCCCTCTGAAATGGTCAAGCAAAACAGTTTAGTGATCACTAGGGATGGGCAACAAATATTCTGGCCTTGCCAGTGATGCCCATATCCCATAAAAGAATAAGCAGAAGGGCAGTGCAGTGATCTGCCTACCTCCTCACGGTTACCATTGGTTACTCCCGTCTGTTAGCTTGTTTAGTCAATGCTCCAAGCACCCTCATCTACCCCTGTCAAGAAGCTTAGTGCTCTGATTATTTTGGAACTAAATGTCTTCTCTTGCAGATGTGCTTATAACAGGAATAGTAATCCTCGGAACCTTTGCTATCTTTTGCTAATGGTAAAACCTGATGGTATGAAATTGACCATTTGTCTTATGATGCATATACAGGAAATTAATCTTGATCATATTCTCTTCTCCCTTGCTAACTATTCTGATACGTGCGCTTTGCAATCACATCCTCCCTCATATAGAAATATAAAACTTAGGGGCAGGAGTAGGCCACTTGGCCCTTTGAGCCTGCTCTGCCATTCAGTATGATCATGGCTGATCCTCTTTATCAATGCCAAATGCACACTTTCTTCTCATACCTCTTGATGCCTTCAGAATCTAAAAATGTATCGTATGTCTCTCAAGTCCGTTTGGAATTCATATGCTCTCCGTGAGAATAGTATGTTTGAGAGGATATTTTGATTGTGTCACTGCTCGTTTGTGCATTTGGTGTGTGGAAAGAATGAGACTGCAGGTGTGAGTGGCGCATTTGTCAGGTGGAGACTTCAGTGCCAGCAACATTATGCTACTTAAGGCTTGTGTGTAAACTCAGTTACTCACTCACAGTTAGCACTCTGATTGTATTGAAGATGATGATTGAGAAGACATCATCAATTATTATCATCTTCTACTTTAAGTTCCAATTAGCACGCAGCTGTCTTCTAGAGCCCTGTCTGAAAATGTTTGAATTTTCCTTCTGTTGTCTCTGTTAGGTTGACTCCGATCAGGAGGCCACGAGAAACAGAATACGCATTCTCCAAGAGAAGGTGATGTACACGCTGGTGTCAGTGCCTGAAGGGAATCATATCTCGTCCATCTTTGAGCTTGATACAACTACCCTACAGAGAGGGGACTCCCTTGTTCCAAGGTATGATTTGATTTGCAATCAAATGTTGGCACCTGGGCATATTCACATGTACGATTTATAGAAATTGAACCATGAAACAACTGCTCGATGATGGGAACATTAAGGACATGTATTCAAAAGTTAAATTTAAAATGTGGCAGCAGTGTTGTAGCTGTTTATATGTTTGGACTTTTATCAAGTACTAATCATTTGGAATTTTCTTTTGAGCTTGAAATAAAATTCCCTTCATTTCATGACAGAAAGGGACACTTGGGTTGGAGAATGTTTTTCCAAAGCAGATGGTGATCGGATCTTTTGCTGCAACTGACTTGGTCTGGAAATTTAGACATAAGTAGAAGGAAAGAAAGATTTGGATGTATATAGCACCTCGTACAACGTCAGAGTTCCCCAAAGTGCTTTATTCCCACTTTTAAATGATTAGTTGTTGCTGTAATGTTGCAAATGTAGCAGCCATTTTGTACACAGCAAGATCCCACAAACAGCCATGAGTGCTAATTTGATGGACTAGTGTTGGTTTCGAGATAAACATTGTCCAGGACACTGGGGAAAACTATTAGGTCTGCCGGGAGGGCATAGAGGTCATCAGATTAACATGTCATTGCAAAGATGTCAACTCTGACAGGTCATGTGTGAGGTCTCCATAGTGGGATTTGAACCCTTTTATAAAATCTAATCTCCATATATGGGCATTGTTGGCAATATCAGTGTATATTTCTCATCACTAATTATCTTTGCGACGTTGATGATCAGCGTGTTCCAGAAATTTACTCAGTGACATGCTTTCTTTTAAAAAAAAAAATGCTAGAAATCCTCAGAAGGTCTGACAGCATTCATAGAGAGAGAATCAGATTAATGTTTTTAGGTTGTGACTATTCAGTGACTTCCCAGGACAGTTAAGAGTGAGTGAAACATTCGGCTGTGGCTTTGGAGTTGCATATAGGCCGGGTTGGGTGAGGATGACCAGTTTCCTTCTCTAAAGTGAACCAAATGGCTTTTTACAACAACCTGGTCATTTCATTGTTATGAATGCTAATAGCCTACAAGTTGGCTATGTTTAATGGATTTAATGCAAATTTCCCACCTGCTGTGGGAGGAATTGAGCAGGTGACCCCCTGTAATTCATTAGTTGCTCATTTTGGAAGGGAGAACATAAGAATATAACATCTATTTAAATGTAGGAAAAACTGCATAAAGCTGCGACACAAAGGGACTTTGAGGTAGTCATGCACGAAACACAAAGGTGCAGCAGGTAATCAGGAAGGCTACTGGAATGATGGCCCTTATTTCAAGGGGTATAAGAGTAGGGAAGTCTTACTGCAACTATACAAAGTGCTGGTGAGATCACATCTGGAGTACTTTTGGTCCTCTTAGTTCAGAAAAGATATCATTTCATTGGAGGCAGTTCAGTTCATTAGGATGATCCCAGGGATTGTCTTGTGAGCAAAGGCGAAACAGGTTGGGACTGTACTCACGGGAGTTTAGAAGAATGAGAGGTGATCTCATTGAAACATAGAAGATTCTTAAGGGGCTTGATGGGGTAAACGCTGAGAGGATGTTGCCCCTCGTGGGGGAGTCCAGGACCAGCAGGCATAATCTAAGAATAAAGGGGCACCAATTTAAGACTACGATGAGGAGGAATTTCTCCTCAGAGGGTTGTGTCTTTGGAATTCCTCACCACAGAGCTGTGGGGAAGAGTCATTGTGTATATTTAAGGCTGCACTAGACTCCTGATCAGTAAGGGAATCAAGGGCTACAGGAAAAATACAGTAGAGTGGATGTGAGGAGTGTCGGATCAGCTATGAGCAGAGCAGGTTTGAGGGGCAGAATGACCTCCTGTTCCTCTTTGTAATGGTCTTATTCATACAGTTACTAATGCCACTCTGAGCCTGGACCTGCTTGCTCAGAATGAAACTGCTTTCACTGCACCAATACCAATGCCAAGAACCGTCTAGTTTCACCTTCTGTTTGGAAAACGAAGGATACCCAAATGAGGGAGCACTACACTGCCTGGACTCTGACCTGGAATTTGTTTTCATTTCTCCCCCACTTGATAGCCGTCATGAGACAAGAAAAAATTTAGCTGCCACCCAACAATTTGATAACTGCAAAACTTATTTTCGAATGACATTGATGAAATAGAGACTGAGTGCTAACAGTATTTGACTTGATACGTGACTCCAATTTAAATATGAAGGGTGTTAGCTCATTTTACAGATCAGTGGGTGTCATATGGAGAGTTTAAAATTTTACACACCCGGTCATTGATTATGATGACCAAATTCAAGTTTACCTTAAAATTCTTAATGCGTTGTTGTCCGAAATAAATCACTGACTTGCGACTGGGTGTGGCTACGGTAAGATGGCACTGGGACTAAAAGTAACATTTTGCATTCTCTCTTGGAACACGTTTACATTGATTTCATCTGTATGCTTACACCGTTTGTTAACTCAGGATATAATTCACTATGAACAATCAAAACAAATCCTGTGAAAATAAAATACTGCAGATGCTGGAAATCTGAAATGTAGAAAATGCTGAAGAAACTCAGAAGGTCTGGCACTATCTTTTGGATAGAGAAATGAAGTGAAGATTTTGAGTCCAGTACGATGACCCCTGTAGGACTGTAGGGTTTGGAAAATTGTTTTTGTACTTTTTGACAGAAGCAGAAGAGGAGGAGCAAGGGGAACTGATGGTGTAGAAGTTCAGTGCTAAAGGTAAAAGGATTAGTAATTGTGGTGAATCAGAAATAGAGATGTAAAGTAAGTGTGCATTAAGGTGTGAAAGGGAGAAAATGGGCCCTCTCTGTTCAGAGCAAAGTCACTAAAATGCAGGATTAAATTGAGCAGAGTCAATCCAGTCAACTAGCTTGAAAGAAGTACCTTCCAGGTGAAGCGATGTTTTATTTGTATTTCTTTCAATCTCGTTTCTATTTGTTGCTCATAGTGGTCTCCTTCACTTTGGTGAGAACAAATGCGGAGTGGGTGGGCACTCTGCAGAACACCTTTACACCTTTGTTAGGAATGACCCTGAACTCCCAGTTGCCCACCATTTCAATAAACCACCTTGCTGTCACAGTAACATTTCTGCTGTGGGCCTGCTGCAATGTTCCACCAAAGCCCACTACAAGCTTGAGGGACAGCACTTTTGGGTTTAGACACTTTATAGCCTCAAGGTCTCAACATTAAACTTCAGAACCTGGCCTCATGATGTCTGTTCTCTAATTTTCTTGTATCACCCCTCTTCATCATGACCTTCTCTAGTTTGTCTATCCCTTTTCCAGCTTAATTTATTCCCATTTTACTACACTTTTTTTTTGTTTTGTTTTACTCTTTTAAGGTCATTAACAATCCCTTGCCTTTTGCACTGGACCTCCAAATAATCTGTTTCCTTCGCTCCTCCTGCCCCCTGTCAAAAGTATGAAAACCCCCTTTGGTTCTGAAGAAGAATCACCCTGGACTCGGAACTCTCCTCTGATGCTGCCAACCTTGCTGAATATTTCCAATATTTTGTGTTTATTTCAAAAATACTCATGGCAGTTTCAATAGAAGGTTCAAGTACATGTGCCATGCCAATCTGAAGTTTGAGAAGACTTAATTCATGGTATCAATAATTCTATATTTGTCTGTAATCAGAAATGTAATAGATGCATTCAGATCTCCATTTATGGACGTGTTCACACATGGATGACTGAATTTTGGGAGACTGATGACTAGATTCTGTCTCCTGTGTTATGTATTTGGAAACAGGAAAAGCTTCCTTTTGTTGCAAAGAGGCCATCAGTGTAAGATAGTCACCAAGTAATCGAATGAGGAATTGAGAAGTAGTTCCATTACAGGAAGAGTGGTGAGAATGTGGAACTCCTGACCACAGGGAGTGGTGGAAGCAAATAGTTTTGTCATATTTGAGGAGGAAACTGGACAAGTGTTTATGGGAGTAGGCAATAAATGATATATTTAGACGAAAAAAGTCGGGAACACTGAAATGGTATCCTCCAATCAGTGATACATCAATCAAGAAAAGGCACCTCTGTTTAACAACCTGTCCATCTTCTGGATGACACTCAAAGCAGAAACCCACCTGCCCCTGTGGCGCAAGTGAAATATCCTCGAGGACTGATGTGCCCTTGTCGCTTTATCTCTCGAGCCGCTTGACGAAAGAACAGATAACCATTGCTTCTGGTTTCAATCTACCCTTAGTAAAGAAAGAAGCAAGAACCAGTTCATCTTTCACGTAAATTCGCTTTTTCCTTCAACAGACCACCTTTCATCAAAGGTAAAAACTCCTTCTCTCATATGTTCCACTGAACTCCTCCGGAGTTGGTCTTTTGATCAAAATGGAGCATTTACATGTACACACTTGATTGAGGTGGCATGGTGGCTCAGTGGTTAGCACACTGCTGTCCCACAGCACCAGGGCCCTGGATTTGATTCCAGTCTCTGGTGACTGTCTCTATGGAGTATACGCCTTCTCTCCGTGTCTGTGTGGGTTTCCTCTGGGTGCTCTGGTTTCACCCCACAGTCCAAAGACATGCAGGTTAGGTGGATTGGCCATGCTAAATTGCCCTTCGTGTTGGTTAGGTGCATTAGCCGTAGGAAATACATATGGTAGGAGGGTGGGCCTGGGTGAGACGCTCTTCAGTGGGTCGTTGTGGACTCTATAGGCCGAATGGCCTGCTTCCGTGCTGTAGAGATTCTGTGAATCTCTGAGGGTCTGGGATCTGATAGCAGCAAATTTGTGCAGTTTCGTGCATTACAGTAGTGACTTCACTTCATAAGTGCTTTGGTTTTAAAGCACTTTTCAGTATCTTCCATGTGTGAAAGGTGATGTATAACTGTTTTCTGTTTTCATGATGTACAGTTCTTGGTGACCTGCTGTACATTGTGTTGATCATCTGACAACCATGTGATACTCCTTTGTGAAGCTCCTTACCTCAAGTTCCAACAAACAAATCAACCTTTCGTTAGTTAATATGATATTAAATGGCTCTTTTAAACACACTTACCATTTTGGCACCTATACTTTGTGTACATTTCCTCTGCACTCCCTGTAGTTTGTCACATTCTTCCTTTTCAGATATTAATTCCATTTACTCTTGAGTCTCTATTGGACCTGCCTCCATCACACTCCTGGGCAGATTCAAGATCTAATCACTTGCTCTGTGGAATAGATTTTCCTTCTGAATTAATTGCTGCTCTTGCCAATCACCTTAAATCTGTGTCCTCTCTGTTCTCAACTTTCGCATTGGAAGATGGATTAAGTGCGCACGTGTATTGAGATCATGTGACTGTATTATTTTCATCTACTAATGAGAGAAGATATCAAACCTGAATTATTGAATCACAGTATGTGCTTAGTGATGAATGTGTCAGATAAGCCTGCTCTACGTGATGAAATATGGCATATCTGTTGGTGGTAATATGGCTAATGCCCATATACCTGCAAGCCAAATAGTTTCGTGGAAGCATTAAATCCTTTGCGAAATCATTTGCACAGAAGATTTCTGCAAAGCTCCCATTTCGCCAAGTAAGTGAAAGTTCTGAGTATTGTGTGTGGATTTTTCTTTTGAAACTGCTGAATGAGTCATGTTATGTTTGAGATGTGCAGACTTGTTTGCTCCCTCATTTGAGAAATCCCAATCCAACACGTTAAATTGCTTGGTCAACAACGATCTCATGTTTTATCAGAACTTGGCTGCAGATGCTGGGTTCAAGAAACAAATGGTTAAGTTTGCAGTGCACTCATCCCTTGACAACGTGCAAACAATTATGCACGGAGAATGTAGCAATTAAGGCTGTAGACATTCAGTCTACAAAGCAGCAATTTGTTTTACTCGGTCACTTAGGTCTAGCCATTTCACAGCTCATTGTGCAATGAACTGATAGCAAAATACTACATACCTAGGCTTTGCAGCAATGCTTATGTTATCCCACAACACAAAAAGCTGGGTGTGGATATCAGTGTTGAAGAATTCAAAAAAACATCTTTATAGTGGTTATACACAAATATTACATATTTCAGGTCCAAGTGTCCAGGCTGACACGCAACAAAGCGGCATCTTTGTCATAGCATGTCATGCTTCAAGTGATCTTGAGTAAGATTGAGTATGCAACCTTACTTCATTGTTGGGAATAAACAATGTGATGAACATGACTCCCCGAGGTATACTGCTCACTGACAATGAGGCGTAATACAAGCCTTACATTTCTGCAATCATGGAGAAAGCAGACAATCTGGTTTCTTTCCTGGAGACTGGAATGATGCAGCTGTGTTGAGAAGCATAACTAAGGCAACAAAAGAGAGAACACTTTTCCCTAGTACTTCGAAAGAAATACACTGTCCAAATACTATTTTCAACAAATGATCTCCAGCAATGCACAAGGCTACTTGTACACTAATACAGTTACTATGATTTGTTAGTAGAATGTCTACATGATAATTGGTAGTTTTCAAAACTGATAGCTGTATGTAAACAAAGATCAAATAATATGTCAATAGGTGCTATGATCCCAGCTGATGATATTGGAAAGTCTAGACTGAATTATGTCTTAATTGATGAATGTTTGAGTATTTTAGCTTTATTTAGGTGGTGTCTCACTGAAGCGTAAACTTGCAACGTTGCAAGTTTGATTTTAACAATAAAACTAAAGATTAACAAGCAAAATAAATGAATGTAAAATAGAATAAATGAATTATTTATATACAGAAAGATTGTAAACACACAGTAAGCACATAACCCCATTAATCCCAAAGATCACTCCTTTGTAGATCCTAAAAGCACTTCTTGTACAGAACGCTTACCGGAGACAAACCTTTTCTAACCTGTTGATAAGCTTAAGTTAACGTGACTTCAGCTCTCAGTCTGTCTTCTTTCTGAAGCTTTTGTACATCTGAGTTTAAACATTCTCAACCTCAACTAACCTCTTCAGAGTTTTGTATAAACATTTTTGGTCTGGAGCTATCACTAATGTACTCTAAGGAAATCTATTTTTACTATCTTCTGCCTTCCTCAAAAGCTGTACTTTACACACAACATCTTCATTCAACGTCATAGACAGAATGTTCCAAAATTGAAACGAAAAGGTCTCTCTCCAAGCTCTGGGTGTTTTCCCTAAATTATCCAAAAGTCAAGAAATTTCTAATAGATGTTGATTATATAATTAATTTACCTTGCTTGGTCATAAACTCCATTAACAAATTCAACAACCCTTTTGTTCTGAAGGTTAACTCTTCTAAACTGTTTTGAAAGTAATCACCATGGCTACAGGAAAGCCTGTCATTATTGAAAATCCAGACTAAACCTAAATAATTAATACATATGCACATAAAATTTACAAAGCAAGAGTTAGTATTTTTGTTGAAAATCAGCATTGTAAAATATTGTTATTCACCGTCTTATGGATGCATAGATCTGAATTGAGAAGAGTGTGAAGATCTGTATTCCTTTAGTGATGCTAATATTATTCCATTCCCTACAAATTGTAACCAAAATCACAATTCTTGTGTTTTATTTCAGTGCGTTGGCTAATGTTAAATCAAATAACCATATAACATGTTAAACTAATGTGTATTTCAGGAATTCGTATGTTCGACTCCGACATCTCTGCACAAACACATGGGTTCACAGCACAAATATTCCAATCGACAAAGATGAAGAGAGGCCTGTGATGCTGAAGGTAGATGTGGGGGGAAAAATGTATGTAACTTTGAAAAGCCAAAGGACTGCTATTTATTGACAGTGTGGCTATCTCCTTCCACTTCAGATTGGCACCTCTCCAACTAAAGAGGATAAAGAAGCATTTGCTATTGTACCTGTTTCGCCAGCTGAAGTGAGAGACTTGGACTTTGCCAATGATGCCAGCAAAGTGTTGGCCTCAATAGCTGGCAAGCTTGAGAAGGGCACCATTACTCAGAATGAAAGACGGTAGGTGCTGACTTTGTAACAGACAACTAGTAATTGACCATCTGTACTTTCCTGACAAGTAAAGCATCAAATCTCCTTCATTGATCTTGCATTTATGATTTCACCAGTTTCCGTAGTGCTGTACGGTTTTAGATGACACTTTGGAGGCATGACCAGATCTCTTATTAGGTATCCTGATTAAAAGAATACTGCAAATTGATCAAGATTCCCTCCATCTAGCCAACTGTTGGAATCAACTCAGGAATGTTTGAGATGGTTTTGGGGTGAGCCGATTTAGATATGTTTTGGAGGTTGGTCGGGTTATTTATTTCGTCTCCGTTTTGCATGTAGGTCAAAATTAACATTATACTTAGTTGAAAATTGGGAAAACAACCCTGAAAATTAGAGAACATAAAAGCAAAGAACTTTGGATGCTGGAGACATGAATTAAAAACAAATGCAACAGAGGAAGCACGACAAGTCTGGTAATGTCTGTGGAAACCGAAACAGCTAACGTTTCATGTACAATATGACTCTTCAGTTGCAAAGGAGGGGGCTGGAAAAGTGGCCGTTTTCATGCTGATGGAAAAGGAGGAGGAACAAGTGCATACTTAGTGAAGGTCCCCAGAACAAAAGGCAAAGGAAGTGCAAATGGTAGCTGAGCAGTGTTGCAGATGAAGTGTATGTATTAATGGAAGGTGTTAATAACAGAAAATGGGTCAGCTCTGCTGAGACCAAACCTATGCAGACAAGAGGTGTGTGGAATACATGGGAGGGAGAGAGATGAATGGATGTAATTGAAGTGGAGGACAGAGTTTGTGGTCTAAAATTATTGTATTCAATATTGGGTCCAGAAGGCTGTAAAGTGCTCAAGTGGAAAATGATGTGATGTTCCTCCAGCCTGTGTGGGCCTTTGCTAGACCTGCAGTCGGTCTGGGACAGAAATGTTAGCATGGGAACAAAATGGTTTATTGAAGTTGAGGTTTATCTTGCAGGCAGAGTGAAGAGATACCCTAGTCTGCATTTGGACTTGCCAGTGTAGGAAGCAGCAGTATTATGAACCGTGAATATACTAGACTAGGTTGAAACAATTATAAACAAATCGATTGTATAAAGATAAGGACATTATGTCCTAGGGTACTGCAGTGCTCCAATGCAAACTGGAGGAACAGCATCTCATTTTCCTTTACAGCCTTTAGAATTCAATAATTTTTCATCCCTTCTTTACTTTTATTAGCATTCCCTTTGCCTTTTCCTTTGGGGCATAGTTACCATCTATTTTACCTTCCCATCCCACTCTTGTCCAGGATAAAACGCACCACATCTCTGGTCCCCTTCTCCCAATAGACTCAATGTTGACCTCTGTACAGATGCTGCAAGGATTGGTGAGTTTCTCCAATAATTTCTGTTTTGATGCCTGAAAATCAGATGGATGCTTTGTGGAAATTTTGAGGGAAAAAAAGACTTTTATCCTGTGCTGTGAAAAAGAACTCAAAACCTAGAAATGCAAAAGATCTCGCATCCTGGAAAAGAACTATTAGCCTATCCAATCCATCCACCTGCTATTCCAGCAGCGGTTTATTTTCAAGATGCTTGTCCAGTTTGACCTCCAATTCGACAAATTTTCCCCTGCAAATTCCCTTGGCAAACTTTACCAAGTAACAAACTGCGCTCCTCTGGAAAGGTAAAATTCAAGGATGCTTTGCATAGGTGTGGACTGTGGTGTAGCAAGAAGAGCCAGTTTTGAAGCAGTTATTCTGCCACTCTAAATAATCCATTTAGAGTGTATTCAAAATCTTGCAGTTTTGAGTGCTTTTGATCTATGAAATCTTACTCCATGTTATAGTTTTTTTTTTGCCATTTTTCTTCCAGTGTAAATTTCTATCTGAATATTTATAACTGAATCTGTATGTAAAATGTCCACGCTGTACTTGAATGTCACCTGATTCAAGTCCTCTATCTCAACCTGCATCGAACCATTTATACTTCTCAGATTATTCGAAGATATGGTGTTCAACTATGTCATAAATGAGTGTGATAAATCGAGACAGAATGCATGAGGAAAAGACTTGAAATGGGTCCAGTCATTCTCCTTCACCCCATTCCTCAAGTAGAGGAATGATCCAACTAGGTTGGATGTCTAAAGACAACACAACTGGAATGCGCACCCAGAACCTTCAGGTCTTCCGCAGGGTTTGATGTTGTGTCCACTGTTGTTAGTCATTTATATAAATAATTTTGGATGAAAATATAGGAGGTGTGGTTAATAAGTTTATGGATGACATCAAATTTGGTGATGTAGTGGATAGTGAAGAAGGTCATCAAAGGGTATAACAGGATCTTGATCAACTGGGTCAATTGGCTGAGGAGCGTAGGTGGAATTCAGTTGGATAAATGTGAGGTAGTGCATTTTGCTAAGACACAAAAAGAGCAGGACTTGTATGGTTAATGGTAGGGCTTTGGGGAGTGTTGTTGAACAGAGAGACCTGGTTGGTGAGGGAGGAGTTTGGCACTCTAGCCTTCATTGGTCAGAGCATTAAATATAGGAGTTGCAATGTCATGTGGCTGTACAGGACATTGGTGAGGCCATTTTTTGGAATACTGTGTACAGTTCTGGTTGCCCTGCTATAAGAAGGATATTATTAAATTGGGAAGGGTACAGAAAAGATTTACAAGAATGCTACTGAGACTGGAGGGTTTGAGTTTAAGGATAGCTTGGATTGGTTGGAACATTTTACCCTGGAACATAGGAGGTTGAAGGGAGATCTTTATTAGAGGTTTATAAAGTCACGAAGGGGCATCGATAAGATCAATGACAAGGGCTTTTTCCCTAGGGTATGGGAGTTCAAAACCAGAGGGCATAGGTTTAAGGTGAGAAGAAAAAGATTTAAAAGTGACCCGAAGGGCAACTTTTTCACACAAAGGGTGGTCCATATGTGGAATGAACTCCAAGAAGAAGTGTTAGATGCAAGTGGAGTTTTAACATTTTTAAAAAAAACATTTGGACAGATACATGAATAGGGAAGGTTTAGAGGGAAATGGGCCAAATGCAGGCAAATGGGACTCGTTGAGCTTGGGTAACCTGTTTGGCATGGATGAGTTGGACTGAAGGGTCTGTTTCCATGCTGTATGACTCCTGCTCTATGGTGATTGATTTTCAATAAGAAAGGGTCTGCATGAGAAATACATCAACAAATGTCTCAGGCAGCACGGTAATCTAAGAATGTGGTTGTACTATTTGTCGGGTGACCCATATATCAAGGTAAAATTTTATCAAGGTGGTTCATTTTCAAAGAAAGGCAAAAAGTGCTGGTATTAGCAAATGTGGCAAGGATCTATCAGACCATATTTTTTAAACGAATCAACTAGCTCACCAGTTCTGTTGTGGAAGAAATATCATGTGAGTGTACAGGACCACACTGACATGGTTGACTGTCAATTGTCTTCTGAAGTTGGGCAACAAAGGATCAGTTTGGAAAGAAAAGCTAACCTTACTTGCAATATCCATAATTTGAGAATTATTATTGGCGTTCTTGCCAGCTTGAATGCCAGTTACCAAACTTTAGAAAGTAAAGTACTAGGCAGGTCATGAGTGCCAAACGATGTCAAAAAAAAATGTTTCTTTCTTTTTAAATTTTATATTATTTTAATCTCTGTTGTTCTAAATGTTTATGCTGTCTTCAAAACTTGAAATTTGGTCCAGTTGAATTTTTGTGTTGAATTGATTTTCAACAGTTTTGTAACCAAGCTTCTGGAAGATTTGGTGTTCTTTGTTGCGGATGTTCCAAATTCGGGTCAAGATGTGCTTGAAGTGGTCATCCACAAACCAAATAGAGAGCGACAAAAGCTCATGAGAGAGCAAAATATTCTAAAACAGGTGAGATGTCAAATGACAAATGTGGTGAAACTGGTTCAGACCTGTATTATTTCTGTTCAAAAGTGAATCGTAATTTGAAAACACCTTTTTAATCTGAAGGAAACTGTTCAATTAGTTAACTATATGGACGTGGTAACATTCGGAATGCATGTGTAATCGCATGTCGATCTATATTGTGACACTGCTTTGTTTCTCCCTTAAGACCAGCCATCCTTGAGTAGTGATTAATGCAGTAGTTTATTCATTAGCATAAATGAGCAAAATATTGTCTGTTCTTGCTGTTGGTAATAATAAGCGCACTTGAGAACTTTCTGTAACACTTATGTTGGCCTTTACATTCTGGATATTTCACTGGTTTCTGACTAGTGGGTTATCCATAATCTGAATTTAACCCTTGCTACATTCATTGAAACAGATCCACTCTTTTTCTACTGGGTCTGCTCAACAACAAGTATTTGTTGACTGGCAAGTTTCAGTTTTGTATTTAGTTGAACATTCGCAATATGTAAGGTCTCTAATTTAAGTCTGGATCATCAGAATGGCTCTACTTCTAAATCCAAACTGGTTTATTTTGCAATATGTTAAAATCTATTAGTACTTGCAGGATTTTGTACACACACGGTCTCACACAGAGCCTCTGGCCTTTCCCTGGAAACCTGTCTGTTTCATCAGCTCTCTATCTTCACTCTCAGGCTCCAGCACAGTTACGTAGATCAGTTATCAAAATAACATAATCAAACTCAGATCAATCAAGCCACTCAATTATCTTTCCCCCTTTTAACTTAATGCATTATATTGAATTCAATGATACAGCAAAGTTAATAAGTGTGCAATCATCTCTTTGAGTTCAACCTTGTCCCTTTTTTTTCTCAAGTACACAAATATTCAGGTATGAAGGCCTCTTCAATCTGCAGTTAGATTAATGGGTTTTATGAAGTGGTTCTGTGTGATCAACTTGATGCAGAAAATCAACATTACTCTTAGGAAGAGCAAATGGATCCTTATGATCACTGGGGATCTTGATGAACATAAGAGATCAATCTCTTAAAACCTCCTTTTGATTCTGAATATACTTAAGGTTTCTCCCATGTGTTTTAACATGCATGTTTAACCTGTCCTTGCTTCTGCACACCGTGTTACAGTATGAATGCTGGTGGAGTGTTTACTGTGCAGTTTCAAATATGCGCAAATAATGTTCCATTGCTGGCAAATTCCTGGTGACAATATGGACAGATCTTCTCCTCATCTCCACCTTATTTAGGCACAGAGAAGTTGCAAAGCCTTTGTCACATACTTCACTTGAAAACTCATTCACTGTTGTGCATTGACAGACATTTGCAGGAGAAGGGAGTCAGAAACGTTAGCCTTATCCCTTACAGTGAACTGTTTTCTGAATGTGTCTGATTATGGATCTTGTCCACAGTTCGAGAAAACCCTGTTCCACAAGTTTTGACATTGCAATGTAACGTGCAGTCGGTTGGATTACAGATGTGTCACACTTTGTAAAATCCTGGAGCTTGACCTTTTGTAGTGGTGTGTATGTATATACACTGAACCTCACTGTCAGGAAGACACACTTCCCCACGTCAAAGCAATGACGTTGTCTTCGATGGCTTGCACATCTCTGCAAAATGGTTCCACTTAAATCATGAGTTATGTATTTTCCCCTTGAACTGGACATGGTGCTATGACCTGATAAGCTTTTTGACAGTTTGGGTGCGGTTTTGAGGGTATCTGTTGTGATGGGGCATGTGTTAAAGGAACTGCTGCTTGTACTTGACCTGGTTGGAAACACTGATACTGGGGGTTCCAGCCAAAGGCATTACTTTGTTGTTTAAAATAAGACATTTTGATTTCTACGGTCAGGATTAATGGTTTGTCTACAAAATTAGATAATCATTCTCCATGTGGAGTTGTCCTGTAACTTTAATCCCAGAGTTATCTTAATTAATTGGCCATGCATTAATTCATTGCATGGTGTGCAAAATGTACATGTGGAAGCCAATTGTCACTTTTTTTTTGATGAGCTTACCCTATCTCTGGCATCTCTGATGGAAAGTATAACATCTGATCATCGCACTGTTCTTTGGTCTGGAGTATTTTTTGTGAGCACTTGATGGCTAAATCAATAAACTGACTTACCTTGTGTGACCTGTTTGACTATTGGCTGAGGTTCTGCCACACCCAGACCAGTCAAGTCCACAGCAACCATTCCTGTTGGTTAGTTCTGCTAACTCCATCAGGGAGCCCTTGCAAACCTGGAGCCAATGGGAATCAGGTGGAAAACTTGCCATCGGTTGGAGCTATACTGAGCACAGCGGAAGATGGCTGTAGTGGTTGGAGGTCAATCATCTCAAACCCAGGACAATTCTGCAGGAGTTCCTCAGGGAATTGTCCATGGCCCAATCGTTTTCAACTGCTTCATCATAAGGTTTGTGGTTGGGAAATTTGTTTGGCATTGTTGGCAACTTCTCAGGTGCTGAAGCAGTCTGGGTCCAAATGCAGCTAGACCTGGGTGACATGCAGTTTTGAGCTGATGAGATGCAAGTAACATTTGCACCATGCAAGTGCCAGGCAATGACCATCTCCAACAAAGAATCCAGCCATCACCATTTGATGTTAAGCCATTACCGCTGCTGAATTCACCCATTATCAACATCTTCATGGTCACCATTGACCAGAAACTGAGCTGGAATTGCCATGTAAAGTGGTGATTGTGGCTACATCAGTAGGTCAGAGGCTGGTATTTCTGTGGCAAATGATTAACCTCCCAACTCACCAACGTCTGACCTCCATTTCTAAGGCACAAATCGTTAGTGCGAGGGGAATACCCCCCACTTGTCAGGATGGGTGCTGCTCCAAAAGCACTCCAGAATCTTGACACCATCCAGAGCAAACCAGCCTGCTTGATTGAGACCATTCCTACTACCTTCCACGCTCACTTCATTCACCACCAATGCACAGCGGCAACAGTACATACCATCTATAAGTTGTATTGCAGTAGCTCACTGAGGTTCTTCTGATAGCACTGTGCAAATCTGAGATCTTAACCACCTGAACAATGAAGGATAGAAGATATATAGGATCAATACTCAATCTAATATTTTTCCAGTGCACGGACCAGAAGTAAATGTACCCATATGTCCATTGTCTCTCAGCGGTTGTGCAGTTTGGTGGGAGGTTGCATGGCAGCATTACCCTACAAAAATTCCCCTTCAAGCTACACAGCATCCTGACTCAAATGTATTGCTGTTCCTTCACTGTCACGGAGTCAAAATCCTGGAACTCCCTTCCTAGTAACTCTGTGGGTGTATTGCAACAGCACACGAATAACTGCAGTGGCTCAAGAAGAAAGCTCACCACCCACTTGTCAAAGGACCTTGGGGATGAGCAATAAATTTTGGCCTATCCCACATCCTCTGAATGGGGGGAAAAGCAAACCTGCGGTAGCAAGTTCCACATCCTTTGTATTCTTTGGGTAAAAGCATCTCTTCTGCATTACTTACTGGATTTTTTTTAGGTGACTTTTATATTGATGGCTTCTAGTTGCTGTCCTCCATAAGAGGAAACATTCTCTCTTTATCCACTCTGAAAACCTTTCCACAATTTTGAAAGATTCCTGATGCAGTTAGCCACAGTTTTACCTGTGCCTCTGTATTCTTTTCATAGTATTGTGATTAGCACTGCATGTAGTGGGCAACCAAGATTTTGATGTAGATTTAGCATAACTTTGCGACTTAATCCTGTCTGATCAGAAATGAGACCTAGTGTTTGTTTGCTTGGCTTTTTTTTTTGTTTTGCTAACCTGTGGTGCAACTTTTAGTGATTGGTATATTTATTCTCCGATTCCTTTGTTGCTCTGCCCCCACCTGAACCTTAACCTTTGAGTAATAACTGAGTTCCCAATTCCTCCTAACAAAATATTTTACCTTATATCTATGTTTTTCTCTTCATTTGCCAATTATTTTCCAAGTCCTGCATGTTTATTCGTGTCCTCCTATAATTTATTGCAGTCCTCCTCAATATTGATTATCCTGCTCCTCAATTTGACGTATGCAGATTTAGAAATTTAAGCTTCCGATTCTGAATCCAAATTGCTAACGTGAAATATTGAACAGAATGGTCTTTGTAGCCAGTTTTTGTGAAACACCACTAGATGTTACTCAGAATAGCTACCCTTTATTCCCACCCTCTGCTGTGTCTGGTATCTAGCTAGCAATCCATTTGCCCATTTGCCCCTTTGTCTTACGCACCCCCATTCGCTGACCATGTTCATTCATCTATTGTGGCTCACATTATCAAGGGCCTTTTGAAAGTCCACATGACAGCCAACATTATCTTTATCCCTCTTTCTTTTGGAAGTATTTGCATACTTAGACTGCAAAACAATTGGAATATTTATTGTGAGAAACCAGCGGGCTTTTTTTTTTTGTAAAAAATGACTGAGGCAAATTTTATTCTGGTACTGAACACATGATGGGAGTGGGAGTTATTTGACCACAGAATTCTTCCAACGTTACAGATGTGACACAAGACAGGAAGGAGCCTAAACCCTCAAACATTTGTCTGCAAGTTGTCAAGCTTCTGGATAAAATTTGGACCTGTTTTCTTCAGTTGACAAGTTCACTATCTCTTTGTAGCTAATAATATCTCTGATCTGTTCTTCAATCATTATTCATTCAGTTATTATTTCAAAGAAGGTAAAGTTTAAAGGCAGTTGCCACACTGTCATGCCATTGTATCCCATGTAACCAAATGCAATCTTTTGCCACTCCACAAACAGGATAACTGTTCACTGATCTTGTTACAAACCCCATGGAGACACATCATCTAAAGAGAGCAGTAGTGTACTGTGGATGCTGGAAATCTGAAACTGAAAGTGCTGGAGAAAGTCAGCAGTTCTGGCTGAGAGAAAGAGTTAAAGTTTTGAGACTCTTACCACTCTGCAGAACTGAGGAGAGAGGTGGAAATGAGATGGGTTTTATACTGCAGAAAAATAAGAGGAGCAAGTGGCACAGAAGGAAAGGTCGGAGGAAGGTTATTCATAGCATCTGCTATTTCCAGTGCCTTAAGCATGATGCCATTACCAAACATATGTTCCCTTCTCCTCTCGAGTCCTCATAAATTTTGAAAGGAAACACTTAATGTGTACAAATTGTAACAGTTGAAAACATTCACTGATTCTAGAGGACAAATGGATAGTTGACACAGAATGTGTCGGATCTCAGTAAGTTATATTGGATCTCTGGTGAGTTGTGTTGGTTAGCATACTGGTCTCTTGGCAGATTGTTTAGGAGATTGTGTCCTTGCTATTACTTAAGAGTTGTACATGTCTGATGAGGCATGTACTCACCTAGTTTATTTCTAGGGGCTGGTAGTTGACTCTTCCCACTTTTTTTCATGAAAAACATTTCTAACCAATGCACGTGAACGCAGGCTAGGTATCCAAGTAGTCAGGATGGTCACCTGCCTCCCTGTCCATCTCTCAGCTTGAAGTCAGCTTTTAAGCCTGTGTCATTGCTAAAGGTCTTGTCCTGCCTTTTCCAAACACTTAAATAGATCACTGGGTACGTATATTCTTAGGAAGCATGAACCACAAGACCCTGATGTTTCCAGGGACTGTTTTTTGTGCATTTCCAGAGACAAATCAAATAGTTTCCCTGTTGAGATTCTCTTACGCTATGCTTATCGATTAGGTATTTGTTACTTGTTCTAAAAGGTAAAACTCATTAAGTCTACAGTATGGATTCAGAATGTGCTGGTCAGAAACAAGCACCCAACTATTTTAATCCCATTCTCCAGCTCTTGGTCCATATGCCTTGGCATTGTAAATGTACATCTAAATACTTCATAAATGTTATGAGGGTTTCTGCCTCTCCCACCCTAAGAGGCACTGAGATCCAGGTTCCCACCACTGTCTTGGGGCGGGGGGGTGGGGTGGAAGATATTTTTCCTCACATTCCCTCTAAACCTCCTGCCCCTTACTTTTAATCTATGCCCTTTGGGCATTCATCACTCCAAGTGGGGAAGTCTTTCCTGTTTACCCTGTCTATGCCCCTCATAATTTTATAGGTCTCAATCCTGGTTCTCCCGCACCCCCAAGTCTTCTGTGCTCTAGGAAAAACAACAACCTAACTAAAACTCCTCAGCCAACGCAGTATCTGAGTAAATATCCAATCTCTGACAGTGATGACCGCAAGTGACCATGAAACACCTTCCTTACCAATGAAAGAAAATTGTCTTTAGATGATCTCTTTGACAACCTCAGGAAAACCCAAAGCTATTTACAGTCAGTTCAGTACATTTTGTAGTGTCATAGCATCGGAAATGCAGTAGCCAGTTTACATATCTCAATGTTACACAAGTAATTTTTGCAAAATAACCAGATCAACCAATAGACTGATGGTGGTTGAGGGGTGAATTTTGGCCAGAGTGCTGAGGAAGACCTCATCCCTGTGTTTTTGAATGGTGTCATGTGAGTTTGCATATATGCCTGCAAAGGGGGCTACAATGTCATTCTCATCTGAGATGCAACATCTACAACAGTACAACATCCTCCATTAACATGCAGAAATTTCAGCTGAGATTTAATGCTGTATTTGTGACAATTGAACTTGCAATCTACTTCCTCTAAAGCAAAAATGCTATCCCCAGGTGAAGGCTGATATCGGAAGGGGTAGACTGGAGGTCCATGTTTGTAGATATGACCACATCCGAAATCAGCAGCATTGGGTTAGAAAGTAAAAGATCATAGCTGAGAAACCAATTCAATTTCAGCCATAAGAGATAACAAGGTGTAGAGCTGGATGAACACAGCAGGCCAAGCAGCATCAGAGGGGCAGGAAAGCTGACATTTAGGGCCTAGACCCTTCTTCAGAAATTTGACTAGTTTGGAGTTTCCTCTGATTGGAAAATCTTTCAGAAAGTCTAAATGCAATTATTTACTGCACGTATTTAATTGAAGTGAAAGCCTCAATGCAGAATTGTGCATGGAATAAGAAGTAGAAATGTGCAGCTTCAGTTCTTGGACCTTGACTTCTGTTTTACGTAAATGACCTGTAAGGTAGAAAAATGCAAGGTTGTCAGCTTGCAGATGACTCCCAAACACACCTTGGGGCAAAAGTAAGAGCTTAGAGGGGTTTGGATAAGTTGCACCATCACATTGATGTCACTAGTTGGTGGATGAAGTGTAGTGCTTTCTAATTAAATAATTTGGGTCAGTGCTGAGGCCAACATTAATAGAATTACTCAGAGCAGGGAGAGTGATGAACTTGCCCCTGAAATTAGCCAAGCCACATGTTGAGGTAATTGCTCCAATATATCGCCAGAGTGGAATTCGACGTTATGTAGAAGCTATGCAATAGATCGATTAGTTCAAATTTGAAATACTTTGTGGATTCCATCATCGTGTGACGTGGGAAACTGCTGGCTTTGGAGACAGTGCAGGAGATTAATTTGTCTATTTGAGGAGTAGGATGTTATCTACGAGGAATAACTAGAATCCTCATTCGTGACAGCCTTGGGAGGTGGTTGAGGGGAGTATGCTGAATTATTGACTTGCTTGGCTAAGATAGACTTCTTTAAAAGAAAACAAGGTCATGAAACTGAAAATCACAGCCAAAACTCTGAACAGGCACCAGAAGGAAATTATTTCAGAGAGTAGTTGATGACATCTGTTGGGTCAAATGATGGCTGTTATGGAAATTTAGACAGTTAGATTTAGGAGTGCTTGAACATAAGGGCAACCTTCACTCATTTGAATAGTCTTTCCTGGTCTTCAGCATTTACGGCACATGAGCCAAAGTTATAGTGCTTCTATATGTTTGGTCCCTAAAAAATGCTTATACACAGTTGCTGCAACATGAGCAGGTCCCTGTATCCCAGGCCAAGTGAAAACTCGATGGAGAAGCAGCTGAAATAAAGTTGATGTTGGGCAATGTTCGGAAAGGATGAAGTATTGCCTAACTTGCTAATATCACCGTACGGTGTGGCAGGGGGGAGGGGTGTTGCAAGGTAGTAAAGTTTAACATTGAGGTCTCTGTCATAGAGTGAGACATAACAATATAACTTGTACCTCCATTGTTATCATACAATAAACTACATATTGTTCAAGACAGGAGCCCCACCTCATTACACCAGTAAGTGGGTTTCCTCCTCGTGAGAACAAGCAGGGCCTTTAGATCCTTCCCAGGAAAGATACTGTCAGAAGGATTTTGCACCATGGTGAGGATCCATCAGACAACAGGAAATATGCTCATCGGTACTCTTCCAGCTTCTTCCCACTGCCCAATCAAGCAGGGTCTCCTTATAAACTATCAGATCAGTGAGTCCTACCAGGATCAAGTAACTGCCAGGTTTGCATGGGTGAGCGAGGTCTGGGAGCTACAGTGTCTCAAGACCCCTCTACACCATATTGTTTATCACAATGATCTCCTCTCGTGTATCAATTCTGCCCTCGTTAGTATCAGTCTATATTTCAGTCCTACCATTGTGTCGCCTTCCTTTCTGCCTCAGAGGCTTGGTAGTTCCTGTAATGGTGGCAAAGATCAGACGCACGTTACCCAGGGCTTCGCGTCGGCAAATGAGCAGTGTGTCCAACACATCAGCGCTGTATTGGCCAATCACGACTTAGAGCACTGAAAAAGGCCAATCAGGCCAACTGGTCCATGTTTATGTCTCTATTGTATGTTGTCTCAGCCTATCGGCTTACTCCTTTTATTATGTACCTAATTTAGCTGCTGCTTTAATGTATCTATGCCATTCACACAAACAATTCCACGTGATAGCACAAGGGCGATGCAGTTGCAAGGAAATCAAGTGATAATTCTTAGCAAGGTGAGACGGGTTCTGCTGTTTTGATTCTGCTGCCATTTTGAAGCCTTATTATATCGACTTCCAGTCCTTAAATCTGAGTAATGCATGATGTATCTGACAGTGACTTGGTTGTTTCCTTGATGCCATAGATCTTTAAGCTGCTCCAGGCCCCATTCACGGACAGTGGCGATGGCCCTATGCTGAGATTGGAGGAACTTGGAGATCAGAGGCATGCTCCATTCCGGCACATCTGCAGGCTGTGTTACCGTGTACTGAGACACTCCCAGCAGGACTACAGAAAGAACCAGGTATCACGGCTAAAATACTGAAACTCCTTGTCACACGGCCTCTAACCTTTGATGTGAGCCGTCTCAAAATGAGTAATTCTAAATTAAGCATTTCATTCATGTGTTACAAATGCAGGAAACTGAGAAATTGAGACTATTTAATATTTCCATCTAATGGTAGTCAATGGATATGAACTTGGAGATTTTATAGTAGGAACACATTAGATAATTCCCTTTTTATTTTGTCACATGTCTGACAATAATTCGGCAAAATACAAAAGCGTTGTTTCGAAATCACTGTTAAAAGAAAGTTTGCATCTAGAAATGGAAGAAGTCTCCATTACAGTGTGTTCTAGAAAATAGCACCATGGTTGAAGAGGCACTGTGGGATAGATGGAACTTTAAGATTTTTTTTCCCCCGCTCACGGAGCTTTCAGATGCACTGTTCATGTGCTGCATGTTTAGTTTTGGCACAGCTCTTATTGCAATGCTCTGCTTCCCAGGAGTACATAGCGAAGCAGTTTGGCTTCATGCAAAAACAAATTGGATATGATGTGCTGGCAGAAGACACCATAACGGCACTGTTGCACAATAACCGTAAACTCCTGGAGAAACACATCACAGCAGCTGAAATCGAAACCTTTGTTAGCCTGGTCAGGAAAAACCGAGAGCCAAGGTGAGATTCTTTTTCTTTTTCAGGAAGCAAAGACAGTGCTTGGACACTGGGTGTTCACCCAGTCCCTTGAAATAGTAAATGACACACCTTTTTTTTTTTTTGTTTCCCCTTGATTGTTCCACAAAACCTCACTCAAAACAGTCCAATGGGACAGGACTGTAGTTAATGCAAGTTCTGGCACCACTGTTTCTGACTGTTGTCTAGTTGCGTATGGGCTTAGGTTGATGCAGAGGCCCAGTTCGAGGTAAAAGTTGCTTTTTATTGAATATTGCCTTCTAACTACGAACAGGAGAAGACTTTCTATGGTGCTTTTACATAACTACCTTCCAATCGTTCTGTCGTTGTGTTGTTGAATCATCAATGCAGACTGTCTTATTCACATTAACTTGAAACTTTTACGTAACTCCTGAAACAACCTCAAATTTTCACGAGTTGAATCGATTTTCCTTTTGCAAACTTCAGCTTTGTGAGATGCAATTCACACACACAGCTATGAAGCGTTTCTCTTTAGATGAATGGAAAATCACTTGGCCGGCCTTTGCACCATTTGCCTCCTACCCTTTCCCCACAATTTTCACTTCCCTTACTCTTAATAAACACTCACTTCAACTATAGCTCTGCTTTTTATCCCCCCCCCGCACCTCATTCATTTCCTCCTTCATTCCTTCCAACTTTCAGCTCATCTTAACCCATCCTGCACCTTCTTTTTCCCTTTTTGTCTCCCCATACCTCAGTCCTTGGCTTATTTTACGTGTCCTTCAGATATCTTGTTGAGGTTTCATTCAACTAGTCTCCACGTTTTTAAGTATAATTTGGTGTAGTCATTGTTCTGTCCAGAATGGGATGATTTTTCTTTTTCCAGTAATGCTTCTGATAGCGGTCTGACTTGTGAACTGGTTTCCTCTTTCCAGGTTTCTCGATTACCTCTCTGACCTGTGTGTGTCCAACAACACAGCCATTCCAGTTACCCAGGAACTCATCTGCAAGGCTGTGCTGAACCCAGTTAATGGGGACATTCTTATCGAGACAAAGTACGTCGTGCAAATTGCAAAGGATAATGAAATTTGCCGCCTCTGTCATTCTTGTACTTTAAGTTTAGGCAGCTTGCATGTAGAGTTTGTTTTAGGAGGATGAAGGTGCACTACTTAGTTCAGTTTCAAACCTGGCTTGTGGTTTTTCACGTTGCATGCTTCTGTGGCCTTTAAGCTTTACTTGCCCATGAACAGTGCTTATGTGGAAACATCCATCTTCTGCTTTGTCTGTCAAACGTTTGAGTAAATTTCCAATGTTTGAAGAGGTTTGAGCAGTCATGCATTTGGTGCTTAGTACCCAAAAGGCGTGTTCTGTTAACATCTTTTTATACATGGCATGTCCAGCCAACTGCAGAGACAAAAATGTATTGGATTTACACTTCTTATTTTAAAAAGGTACTTCATTCATAAATTATCTATAAGTAAATGCAAAACTGTCCAAGTGCAGATTTTGCAGAAAATATAGTGGAATTGACATTTCTCATTAGAACTTGGTCCAGTTGTAGCTGAAAAGGCATTTTATAGACATGAAAGGAAACTATTAAGGCTAAACTGTAACAGACTCTCATTGTACTTTGGCTGAAAGGACCCAGACAGTGGTCTTTCCCCACTGCACCTGGCAGCAGCTGCCCCAAGATTTAGTGTGTCCCTCAGCACAGAGTTCTGGACCTTGGAATGTGCCAGTCTGCAATATTCTGTCGACCACCAACACTAAAAGATCAGCAAGTTTCAGGCAAACCAAAGAAAGTCTTGCATCGAGACGATGGTCCTCCAGGTGCAGTTGATGTTTGTCTCGGTGAATGTCCAGAGAGCAGACCATAGAGCACAGAGACCCGCATCGCAGGGCTGCTCGGGAGGAACGTCAGCAAAAACCACTAACTCTCTCCAGACTTCCTTTTGCAAAGGCACATTACAGGAGATGTGAGACAGTCTATTCCTGCCTCCCATCCTTCACAACACTGGGGACAGGTAGAACCTCGGTGCATTGTGACACTTGGTGTTTGCGTACCGAGGGTCTGTACACCGCTTGATGCAGCTGTACACCAAGGAGGCCATCAGGATGAGGGCGGTACTGGCTATGTCCTGCACCCTGTCCTAACCATTCAGAGCATGTACATGGTGAGCCTGCAGACGTGGTTCATCGTTGACCTCCAGATGATATTGAATTTAAATTACCTTAGAAGAGTAAACCCAATGCTGTTCAACTTTGCTTTAGGTTAGTGTGTGGCATGTCTACTATAGCTAGTAGCTTAGCTGTGTTAGACTAACTTATGTTAATTCAACTGTGTTTAGTACTCATTCAAATTTGGCAATAGGAAAACCATCAGGAATTTGTCGGTATGTTTTGAAATGCAGACTTGGAGGACTCCTGACTGAATATAATGTCCAGTACTTGTACCATTGCAGGCAAAACAAGATACAGGTTTAATGCTGCCTTCATTAAGAAAGAGACTGAGAGGGAGGATTGCTAGGCCATGAGAGTATGGCTGATCTCCAAGTAAAGGAAGTGAACAAAATGGTTAGAATGTGCAGGTGGTGTGAATAAACAGGAAGCACAAATGACTAGTTCACTTCAAAGAATGAAACAGTGAAGGTTTAAAAAATGCTCCATTTTCAAGTGATTAGTGAATGATCAGTGAAGAAAAGGGCCTAGATGAAAATTGGAGCATAACACAAACGTAAGCAGAAGTTCAGCAGTGTCAACCCACTTGTTTGGAAACTTTTGAACACCAGTTTATTTGGAGTTATTGTGCAGGCATGTACATTTCCTCACAGCCTTGTTAGAGATGGATTAATGTATTTCGGAAATGCCTGCTTATGAAGTGAGTAAAATGTTGAATTGGGTTGGTTCTATTGTAATCAAACCATGTCTTAACTGTCAAATTTTCTATCTGGTGAAAACCAGCTTGTATGTCCTATATCAATGCTGCTGATTTTTTTTTTTTTTTTTTTTTTATTTTTTTTTTTTTTTGTTTTTAAATTTTGTGATGGGGGTTGTTTTTTTTTGGGCAACTCTTTTTGCAGGCTCGTCTTGTCCAGAGTGGAGTTTGAAGTGGAGAATGGTGGGGAAAGTCGGCTTGAAGTGGGCGAAGATGAGGAAGTGTGGCTCTTCTGGAGTGACAGCTGCAAAGAACTACGCAGCAAGAGTATCAGGGAATTAGCTCAAGATGCCAAGGAGGGACAAAAAGAGGACCAGGAGGTCCTCAGCTACTACAGGTATGTCTTCCTAACCAAAACCCATTGCACAATCTTTGTAGGTCGTGTGAATGGAAGGTTTGAGGCTGCTTTTGCACAACCTGGATTCCATTAGCTGACCCTGAGATGACCTTGTACTTATAGGTGTCAGTCGTGGCTTCAAGACTTCTGTGTCCCAGGCAGAAAGTTTACTTGTTTTAAGCCCTACTTCAAAGGGGCAGGAAATCACAGGCCAAAGCTCCTGTACAGTGTTGAGGGACTGCTGCATTTTCTGAAGAGCTGCCTTTCAGATGTGACATTAGTCCACCAAACCCTTTAGTGGGTTCGAAGATCTACTGGCACTATTCAAGGAAGAGTTGGGAAGTTACCCCCTGGTATCCGAGCCAATGTTTCCCAATCAACCAATGTTTCTAAAATCTATTATTTGGTTCTGTTCATGAAATCGCCTTACTGTGCACAAACCAGCTGCTGGGTTTCCAACATTATAACTCTCTGCTTTTTTGTCTGTAAAAGGCTGAGTTTATTGTCAATGCCACCGCTAGTGACTACACACATGTAGAAACATGGGTTTGTAGTGCCACTTCACTACAAAGAGCATAGTGGGAACTACTGGGAATGAAGTTGGCACTGCCCATGTTGTGATGTTGCAGGTTGGTGCTGCTTGGAATGAACATAGGAATTAGGAGCAGGGAGTCGGCAATTCAGCCTTTTGAGCCCACTCCACCATTTAACATGATCATGGCTGAGCTTACCCTGGTCTCAACTCCACTCACATGCCTGCTCCCCATAGCCGCCTTATCCTGCTTTTCATCAGAAATGCATCTATTTCTTGAATCTATTGCTTGACTGTTTTTCTCCACTGCAGTCTGGTGCAGTGAGTACCACAGATTCACAACCCTGGGAGGGAAGTAGTTTCTCCTCCTGTGTTTGGAGCCTAGGTAGGTAGTGTTTCCACACCTCCTCCTCCTCCCTCACCGCTCACCCCCGCCCCGGCCAAAGCCTACAGATGACAACAGTGGCAGCATCTCCACTTCAACCCCTGAGAGCACAAACAGCTAACTGTAATTGCATTTTGGACAGAAATATTAATGCTAAAAGTTGCATTGCTCATTTCCTATCAGTAGGTCAACAATGCCTACTGGCTAATTGAATGACCCATCCTTCCCCATAATGACTGTAATAAATAAATAGTTCCTCAAATTATCTTAATTCCTAGACACATGTTGTATGTGACAAAATACATGCTAATACAAGTTTATATGTCAGATTGCTCATGGCAAAGAGCGTCTTTTCTTCAAAAGAGAACAAATCCTTCGTTCTCTGAAAGAGAAAAAGGTTCAATAGATTCCAAATCTGTTGCTGAATTGCTTCTGATTATTTTTGAATTATGTGCCATGCACTGCACGAGAGATGCTCCCGTTTAACTATGTGCCATGTATAAACCATTCCTGGTGGAGAGGGCACAGTTTTTGCTGCTTATTCTTGGCTTTAGCAGCACACAAACTCCTTCTACAAAATATTTTGGGATGTCCCAAGGTTGTGAAGTAAAACTTTGCTACAATATCTTAAGGTGCGGGCTTGAAATTTGAAGGCAGTAGCCTTCAGTAGTTTAGATTTTGATATTGCCTGTAAGTATGTGTTTAATCTGTTTATTGTCTCCCTATGTCTCGGAAGATGCTATAGCTGACAATTTCTCCTTTCTGTTGGAAAGGTTGAGATTTTGTTATCTTCAGTAAATGTGTCTTCCTCCTTTTTCCATCAACGTTTCCCTCCCCAGATACCAACTGAACCTGTTTGCTCAGATGTGTTTGGATCGTCAGTATTTGGCCATCAATGCAGTCTCTGGACAGCTGGATGTGGATCTAATACTTCGCTGCATGTCAGATGAGAACTTGCCCTATGACCTCCGCGCCTCTTTCTGTCGCCTGATGTTGCACATGCATGTAGATCGGGATCCCCAAGAACAGGTGACTCCAGTGAAGTATGCCCGCCTGTGGTCCGAAATACCATCCCAGATAGCGATTGATGAGTGAGTACTTGGGCTGATTTATTGTCTTTTCATTGTCAGGCCGCAAAGACTTGGGGTGTTGATAGAATTGTGGAACACTCGTATTAAAACATTCACAGAATCACAGGAGGTCAATTAGCCCACTGTGTCTGTACCAGTCCCTTTAAATGAGCATCATTATTGAGTGCCGATTTCCTGCATTTCCCCCCAAACCCTTGCATTTCATCTATATCCAAATAATCATCACAGTGCCCTCTTGAAAGCTTCTATTGAACCTGCCTCCGCTACACTTTCCAGGCAGTGAATTCTCCATACCCTCGCTCCTCTCCTGAGTAATTTTTTTTCCCCCTCACTTCATCCTTGCTTCTTTCACAGGTAACTTTGAATCTATGCTGTCTTGTTCCTATTTATGAGCAGAAACAGTTTTTTTCCTATCTACTCAATCCAGCCCACTCATGTTCTCTCCAAGGAGAACATGACCCATCTTCTTCAGTCTGTCCTCGTACCTGAGGTTCCCCGTTCCTGGAGCCATTCTTGTAAACTCCTTTTGCGCACTCGCCAAAGCATTCCACGTCTTTCTGATCATGTGGCATCCACGACTACACACGATACTCCAACTGAGGTCTAACCAGTTTCCTCCTCTGGTCTAACGTGTTTATGCGAGTGAGGGGCTGATCCTTTCACACCAGGCAGATTTCCAACATGGGTTCCTGAGAATAATGCTGGGGATGAGAGAAAACAATTGACAAGTAGTGGACAACATACTCCCAACTGAACCAGTGTCGGTGCTGTGGTTTCTAATGGAACCATTTAGCTTCATTGTTCGAGGTTTAGTTGTTTAAATTGCTGTGTTGCGTTGGAGATCGTTCATTCCACTGAGAATGAATGGCACAAGTATTGAGAGGGACCCTTAACAGCTACTAGTCAGTGAGGAGGGCCAGTACTTTTACTGAAAGTTGTTTTTTGTGTAGATTGACAATTGTCAGATATTTGGTCTGTCGTACCTTTACACATTTTGAACCTAACGTCAATACTTGTATTGTTGACGGTGACCTTTTGGCAGTTGGTAAAGCAACCAGCCTATCACCTTTTAAACTGACTAGTGCTGGTTGCTCTATTGGCATGTCAGTACCATTTTAGAAGTAAAGCATCTCAACTATGTAAATTGCAAAAAGTCTTTCTTGAACAATAAACTCTTTTTTTATTTTGAATATTCAACATTGTGTCCCCCAGCCAGCACCCACCTACCAAGAAATGTATTTTTCATGGATATATAACAGACGGCTTCATGTGAATAGCAACAGATGTGTTTTACTCGTGCAGTTCTTGGTATTAAGACATGTCCTGTTTTGTTTGATTAGTTATGATTCCAGTGGGACGTCCCGAGATGAAATAAAAGAACGTTTTGCCCAGACTATGGCCTTTGTGGAGGAATATTTGAGAGATGTTGTCTGCCAAAGGTTTCCGTTCTCTGATAAGGAGAAGAACAAGCTGACATTCGAGGTAGGTTCGCACGTAGTTTAAGGATTTGATTGGCATCACTGAGGGGTGTAAAGATATGACTGAAACCTGACAAGGAAGCATCGACTCCAGCTAGTAGTGAAATTGGTCACATTTGTGCCTTTCTTATAAAGACACGTGGTTTATATGTGTGTTTTGCCATGCTTGTTGACCACAATAATCCTGCTAAGAATTAACAAAGTATGTGAATTAAAAGTCAAGCCATAACTTGAGTAAACTATACGATCTGTTTCTTTCATCTCTCTTCACTCTGGCTGGCTAACTGCCATCAACATTTCCTCCCATTTGGTGCAGGAGATTTGGAAATCATTGTTTGTTTTTTTTTAAGCACCTACCAGTACTTGCGTGCTTCTCCCGGCGTCTCCGTCAGCCAGCACATCTTTGCCTGGGCCTTGTGGTTCTACACATTTTGGTTATTTATGGATCTGGATGCCAGTTCTTGTCCATGACCACAGTCACCTCTTACATAAAATGTTTACACATTTCACCCCCTACTGCTCCCTAACACTGCTGAGTCTGTACTCCATATCATAACCATTAGGGGATATTTGGTCCCTCATCAACCAGCCTGGTATGCCATTCAGATGGGAATTTAATTCAATAAAATGTAATTGAATCTGGAATTTCATTGGTTACTTCCATTAATGATGGAATCAATGGATTATCATATTCATACGATCTCATTGTAATAGATTGTTGTGTTCAGAAACTTGAAGGCGATTAGACATGGACAGTAAATACTGACCTTACCAGTGCCACTTAGATGCCATTATTAAGGAGAATCCTGCCTTCCCATGCCTTCCTAGCTAGTGTCAACATTTTTCACTTTTCTAAATTTTTGGTCTACTCAGACACTGCTTTCATGGTTTCACTCCATTCCTTTTGAGTGCCACCTTTTGTCCTTGCCTATCCTGCCTTGAACACTGATCTCCTTGTTTCTTGTTTTCTTTCTTTTCCATTTTGTGACTGCTCTCGGACTAGCACTTTGCCTCTGCAAGTCCCTCATTTAAATCTTTGTCGTTTTAACCTGTTCCCTCCTGCAGCTTTGCCTGTTTCCACCTGCAAACCTTTAAGTTCTCTTATATTTTCAACCCTAGCCATTCATCCGTTTCTCCCAAGGAACATCCCTTCTGGTAGAAGTAATGAAAAATGTTCGATGTCGCCTTCTCTCTCCTGAAGAATGCTGTGCAAATACAAATTGTTTTTAAGCCATATGCTACTGATTATTATCAGTTTTACTAGTTACCTATTCAAATGTGGCATGTCACAGTAGTTCTGAAGGTAGTACCTCAAGGATGCATTCTGATCACTGGTGTTCCACACATTTTCTACTTCAGAAACCAATGCCAACAGTATATTGTCTACTTCTGTATGTTGAAACAGATGTAAAAACTATTCAGTGAAGATGTTTGAATCCCTTCCAGAACTTCATTTAAGGCTTGACTTTATTTTTGCTCATCTGATTCCTCCTGAGTGTCATTTCCCACTTGGACATCTGACTTTTTTCACCCCATAGGTTGTGAATTTGGCTCGAAATCTGATCTACTTTGGCTTCTATAGTTTTAGTGACCTCCTGAGGTTGACCAAAATATTACTGGCCATTTTGGACTGTGTTCACATGGCAACGGTTTTCCCAATTAGCAAACTGGTTAAAGGGGATGACAACAGAGGTAAGACTTTCCTGTAATCTGGCGATTTTGTCTTCTTATTTTGGAACCATTCGCCCTTTTCTGAATCCACACTGATGTAAAATTGTGTGCTGCAGGCAGTAACGTGATGAGGTCAATTCATGGAGTCGGAGAGTTGATGACCCAAGTGGTTTTGAGGGGAGGTGGCTTTCTGCCTTTGACTCCCATTACACCACAGGATGGAACTGCCAAACAACAGACTGAGCCTGAGAAGGAGGATATCTTAGTCATGGACACAAAGCTAAAAACCATTGAGATCTTGCAGGTAATGCGCTTGGAAATAAGTGTCAATGCTGTTTATGGTGGACTTTGCAGCTTCACGCACTTGCATTGGATTTGACCTCAACCTTGGACTTGTATAAGGGCTGCTAACTCTGGTTCAGTACCTTCTGGTTGATTGTTTGCTGCTGTAGGTTCTTGCTCTCTTGCCCCAAAATGACCACCAGGAAAATAACTTGTGACCTGTGATCCAGGGCCACTTCCAGGACAACAGCTCTAGAATGATCTCCAGGGATCCATGGAGCATTATGCATTGATTTGTCCTCTGATTTCCTTTGCTCCCTGTGGGAAGTTAATGCATTGGCATTTCTGGAAGCCATCATCCTGCTCCAGAATTTTAATTGTACAGTGGCTTCCTAACCTTGATCCTTCAGGCTAAAGCACGGTGGCTCAGTGTTTAGCACTGCTGCCTCACAGCGCCAGGGACCCGGGTTCGATTCTACCCTCGGGTGACTGTCTGTGTGAAGTTTGCACATTCTCCCCGTGTCTGCGTGGGTTTCATCTGGGTGCTCCGGTTTCCTCCCACAGTCCAAAGATGTGCAGGCTAGGTGGCTTGGTCATGCTAAATTGCCCTATAGTGTCCAGGGATGTGTAGATTTGGTGGGTTAAAGGGGGATGGGTCTGGGTGGGATGCTCTGAGGGTTGGTGTGGACTTGTTGGGATGAAGGGCCTGTTTCCACACTGTAGGGATTCTATGATCCATGATGGAACATACCTATTTTATTCTTACAATAATACTAAAGGAAGTTGCTGCATGTTTGGTATGTAGCCTGAAAGTATTCAATTCTTTCCTAAGAATGAATGCTAACACTTAAGGCGATGAGAGTAGATTTTTCACTTGATGCTGTTGAAGCAGCTGTAAATTGTTCTGCTCTGTGCAGTTGTCACTACCTGGGTCAAAACAATTCTTCATGGGTATGGAGTGTTTGAGCAGTCTGTTGTGGAAAGTTGTAGCATTGCAAACTGCTGACTTTTTTTAATATGCTCCACTGAGCAATATTGGGACTGATCTTGCTTGAAAAAAAAGTGTTTTAACGATGTATGTTGATAATAATCTGCAAATCGTCCAGCGAGTTTAGAAGCCCCATGATTTGAGAATCTCCCAAGAGTTGCTGGCTAATTTATATCGCTCCACCTATTACTTGTGTAAATGATATTACCCTCTCATATTTCCTCCTAATTTTAAAGACTTACTGGATTTGCACATAAATTGCCTATTCAACATACCACAGAGAGTTAAGACTTATGATTAATGGTGAAGTGTCTCTTTAACAGTATGATTGTTAATGCAATTACCCTCTTGAGCCTAGATTGGGAACAATTTGAATTATTCAATATCATTGTTGCATTATTGTTTGGGAGTTTTTAAAGAAAATGATTTTTCTAATTTATGTTTTTCCTCTGCGTCGGTTTAAAAATCCAGTCTTTAGTTTTCTTTCTGTAGCTGATGCGAATCAATTTCCTTTGTCTTTCCTCTGGTTATTTCCAAGAACTTTTAATTTCATCCTTAAGCAAGCAGACTGTTGTTGTCACTGTTAACAGGGGACTCAGCTGCCCTGTTACACTCACCACTTAGCTAATCACCTTGCACAGCAGTGATGCAGAGGTGCCGGTGTTGGATTGGGGTGGACAAAGTCAGAAATCACACGACACGAGGCTATAGTCCGACAGGTTTATTTGAAAACACAAGCTTTTGGAGCCTCAGTCCTCCTTCAGGTGTTAGTGAGAGAGGTAGTATCAGACACAAAATTTATAAGTAAAAGATCAAAGGTTCACACCATTGAGGGTGTACTAAGCAAACCTAAGATGCAGTTAAATCTTTAATCAATTAGAAGGTTTTAGTTGATTAATATGTATATGTGAATCCCTGAGTTCCTTTCAAGTCATGGTCCTGAGAGAACTAAAGGTTTTATCAGTGTAAAGAGGAGGTGTCATTTTAGGTCAGACAATGTATGTTAGGTGTGAGACCTTGTTTAGAATCTGTTTGTGTCTTGGTTTGGAGTCTGACTGGTTTTATGTCTAAAGTAGGAATTTAGGAAGCACCACATTGACTGTCTGACCTGACTGACTGTCTGACCTGACTGACTGTCTGACCTGACTGACTGTCTGACCATAAATTGTACTCTCTTATTCACCCCATAGATTCACGCGTGTGCGGGGTGGTGGTGGGAGTGCGAGCAAGCGTATAGGAGATTGTGAGATAACAAGGTGTAGAGCTGGATGAACACATCAGGCCAAGCAGCATCAGAGGAGCAGGAAAGCTGATGTTTCGGGCCTAGACCCCTTTCTGAAGAAGGGTCTAGGCCCGAAATGTCAGCTTTCCTGCTCCTGAGATGCTGCTTGGCCTGCTGTGTTCATCCAGCTCTACACCTTGTTATCTCAGATTCTCCAGCATCTGCAGTTCCTACTATCTCTGTGTGTGTCTGTACCTCAAAGTCTTCCCCACACCTCCACTTCTTGCCTTCAAACAACCGCCAAACCTTAAACAGCCCACTGTTAGCAGCAAACTACTCAGCCTCCAGGACAACAACGATTGCTACAACCCTGTCATAGCAACCTCATTGACCTGGATACTACTGTCCCACGCGAGAACACCGCCCACCATGTGCACAGCAGATACTCATGTGACTCGGCCAACACTGCCTATCCCCTACATTGTAGGCAAGGATGCCCCGAAGCATGGTATATTGATGAAACTGCACAGATGCTACACTTCAACAACGGATGAATGGAAACTGTGCAACAATCGCCATCAGGATTGTTCCCTCTCAGTCAGGAAACACTTCAGTGGCCAAGGACATTCGGCCTCGGATCTCCGGGTAAATGTCCTCCAAGGTGGACTTTGGGATGCACAACAACACAGAGTTGCCGAGTAGAGGCTCATAGCTAAATTCGATATCCATGAGGGCCTCAATTGGGATCTTGGGTACATGTCGCACTGCAGGTGACACCACCACATTATACAGTGTGTCGCGCTCTCTCAAACACATACATACATACATACATACATACATACATACATACATACATACA